ATGAAGGCAGGAATAATTTAGTGACATACTTAGGTTATCAAAGAAAGAGATGTGAATCAGTTATTAAAATTTGAGATATTATGTTGATGAAATTAAAATTTCTTTGTATTAAGATATTTGATTCTGTAATTAAAGGAAATTCATTGTATATTTATCTAGGTGGATTTTTTTTAAATCATAAAATAACATTAAACTTTCTGAGTTTTATGACTTCCATTTTGTAGTCTTTCTGTTAAATTGGAAGCTGGGAACAGGTGCTTGGATTTGGGACCAAAAAACCTGTTACCTGAACCTAACACTTCTTGAAAATAATAGTATTTCTTCATGACTATGAAGAAATCTGGGTGAGCTTCTTACAATGACTTACTGGATTGTAAATGAGTATTCTATAGGAGGACAAACTAAAATCTGGATATGGCAAAAGTATGAAATTTGGGGAGCAAGAGTAGTAGGATGCCTTGTCCTTGACATTTGCTTATTACTTTAGTATTTCAGAGCTGGAAGGGCCTTGAGTGATCCTCTAGTCCAATTTCCAGATAAGGAAATGGAAATCAAAGCTGCTAGATGACTTGCCCAAGGTTATACAGGCAGTAAATATAATAGGTGGGATTTGGAAGCAGGTCTTCAAACTCAGGAACTAGAGTTCTTTCCCCCATAAAATGCCTCCTTTTCATTGAGTGCATTTTCTCCCAATATACAACTTATAAAGGTAGCTAGCCTCTGTTAATGTTTGCAAGAAATCTCACAGGAAGTATTATTTCTGCCTGGCTATAGATTGATTGCCTAACTGGGAACTTAAAGTTATAGATACACTTTTTCTAATTTTTTTTAATGCATAACCACATAGTAATTAACACACTTTTTGGGAAAACCTGGATCAATTTTTGATAGCAAAAAGTGAAAGTAAACCAAAGCTGATTTGTAGGATACACCTGCAATTCTAATGTAGGTTACTTTTCCTTACTCAGTAACTAGGTATACGTGAATAGTTCCTATAGAACTTGATAAAATCTTTCCTAGAAGTTACATTGAAAGACCATCCATAAAAGGGAAGGGGGGGTAGGGATGGAAGGAAGAAAATAAACTTTCCAATATGTGTTAATTCTCCTATAAAAATATGTAAAGTGAAACAACCCTTTGTATTTCTATTATGGAGTGCTGATGTTGATTCTTTAGCTTTCATCCTTTAGGATTTCGTAAATTATATCTCATTTTACTAATCAGAAATATTAACTGAATACTAACAACAGTTATCAAATCAGAGATAGCCATTAGGTAAGTGATATTTAGGAAAACACAGTACCTTCTTTTGGCAGAGACATAGCTTTGGGGGATGAGGGAGGTATAACATGAATACAATTAAAACTTGCTGTATAAAATAATGGTTTTTATTTTTTCTTTCTCCTGAAATAAGTAATTTCCCATAACTTCAATAAGAGGACTTTGATGCTCACATTTGTTGCTTAAATAACATAGAGTTGAGATGGACAATGAATATTCCATGGGAGGACAAACTAAAATCTGGATAATGGAAAAAGTATGAGATTTGGGGAGCAAGAGTATTAGGATGCCTTGCCCTTGACATTTGCTTATCATTTTAGTATTACTTATGGGAGAAGGAAATTAGAGCTATAAGTGAAATCTTTTCACCATGAAATCTTTCTGGAGAACTTTCCTTTATATTAAAGAAACTCAAGTCTACTTGACTACTCCTTAGAGTAATATACTTAAAATATTACTATCTTGATATTACTCATTTTGTCTAATCTTGTTAAAGATGGATTTTTGTTGTTGCTGTTGTCAGATTCCTTAAATAGGTACTGGATTTTTAAAATAGCCAATCGTAGGACAGGGAAGGAAAAGATCCCCAGATAAGCTCCTAGCATTAACAATCAGTTTAGCACCAGGATATTTAGCACCAAAATGTAGCCTGTTAGTAACAATCTTCATTGTAAAGGAACCAAAATATAACAGAAATGCTGTACTGATTGAAAAGAATTTTTAGCACCATTTCCCACCAAACTGTTAGGGATTCAACATCTGTAATTGACCCTTCATAGATCAGTGCTTAGATTCCACTAATAGATTTTCAAATCTATTTAACATTGTCATGAACCCAACTTCCTTCTCCCTGAACAGTTTAGCACATAAAGGCTCTCATTTGAGCCAAAATTTGCTCCTAAAAATCTGTAGAAATAAGGATTTATCACACAGTGTAAGACATTAGACCAGATTCTAAGCATGAGTCCCTTCCTGATGTAATAATAGTTCAAAATGGAACAATTAGGTTAGGTATATCCATGCAAATTATCTGGCTAGTTCATTTAAGTAATAAACATGATGTGATAAGCACTGTCCACATGCAAATTACTCAAAATTAGGACTCAGATATAGGTTGAATTCAATAATCTGGATGCTCAACCCAATAGCAAGGCTGGTTCAGTACATTACAGTACATGAAATCAAAACACATTACTTTGAACCTAATCATCTGAGTCACTTATGTGCATGGAACCTATCATACAATTTTGCCCACTCTTACATAGCTGTTTGGGGGCTTCCAAAGTGCATTCTGTGCCTAGACTTAGATCACTGCATATCTGCTAACTTGCAGAGTTGCACAAACTGGCCATGCAAAAAATGTCACTTAGTGCCACTAAACAAGGAATAAGTTCTAACACTCTGCAATGCTTATTAAGGCAAGATTATCTTTACCACATGAAATATTGTGGTTCTGTCTATGCAATACCCAAACAACTATCCATCCTTGAGGAAATTTACCACTTAAATGATAACAACAGAAGCCAGTGAAGTCATATTGATTTTTTGCAGTTGTATAGAAAAAGAATCTATTGATTAACTTTTTAAAAATCTTTTTGTTGTTGTTGGATACGCTATTATGGAGAAATAATCTGTAATTCTGAGATGGTAAACAATGTTCAATAAACAATGAATACCCATTACTCTATCTTTTGAGTGAAATATTTTCAAATGAAAACCTTAATGCTTGCTACAGATTTTATAGAAAGCTGCTTTTATGAAATAGCTTATGCCCAGTGTGATATAATATGCTGATATATTTATTCCAGCACCATTGTTGTGTGTTGCAAAAAAAAAAAAAAATATATATATATATATATATATATATACATTTAATTGCTACTAGCATACTTTCATTAGCTTTAGCCCTGGAAAAAAATATTTCACACGGGCACTTTATATTACTAATTTCTTTAAAGTAACAGCTACAATAACAAATATACCCGTTATACAATTTTCAGCAAAGTTACTAAATTATAAATTAGTGTATAATTCTAGTTGTTTTTGGAAAACATCACTCTATGAGTGTAATTCAAAAATGCATAGCCCATAATCATTAATCTAATAGGTCTGACAATTAATGTAATTGTTTTAATGAACACATAGTTTGATACTTTTAACTTTTTCTTGGTCTTTACAAAGGCTTTAGAGATGCAATGATACTAATTATTTCTGTTGGTTTCTTAATTCCCAAATGTGTATTCATTAATATTTAAGAGAAACATTTTAATTTTAATAGACATTCAAGTTATAGTCTCTACTCTTGCCTCTTAGTTAACAAAATCTCCATTAATATGGTATTATTTACCCTCACAGGAAATTGTGAAATAGGCACCAAAGATCATCATTCCTGCTTTACAAACTAGAAATAAAATATAGAAAGATTATATATCTTTCCCCAATCAAACATGTAGAACAACTGCTTCCATGAAAAGTGTATGAATACTGTATCACTAATTCATAAAATAGATTGATTCACTAATTCACAAAATAGGTTGATTCATTCACCCCAGGCACAATTACAAAGTTGGTAAGGTCATTCTTTGTAATCCCATGCTTCTACTTTTGGAAATGTTCTGTAAATATAGTCTTTATATTCAAAATATCCCCAACAACCTCAAGGTTTCTCACTGAAATTTCCCAAGTGACCTTCTCCTCTGTCTTATGCTTGAGAGATTATTCATCTCTTTATTATATCCTTCATAAAATCCTACTATTCCTGTGTCCCAACTCCCTTAGAGTCCTGCTTTCTAAGGGGTTAGTCACATGATCTGATAACTTGCCTACTAATGATACATTAACAGGTGCTAACATTGCTCTCCTTCCTTCCCTTCCCCTTTTATAAATTTACATTTTAATAATTGGCGGAAGATGTCAGCATCTCTCAAACCACATTGCTTCAGCCATCACATGCCCAGTCCATGAGTCTGTGGAGTATTATGATAATACTTTACAGGAAACAAGTGTAGAATTTAACTTGCCTCTGGCCCCGCAGGCAGTCAGTGGCAATACAAACTTAGAATGTAAATCACTGTATCACATTGCTTTTTGAATTTTTTTTAAAGTCTGAGTTAATTGCTGCTAAGAAGTAATTGGGGGAAAAATCCTATCTTTTGTTAACCAAAAGAAGCCAAATCCTTTGATGATTTTACTTTTTCACCTTTCTAACAGAAATGAACTTGTTCCAGATATTGCTGAATGCCATTTTGTGAGATATCCTAATAGGCCACCATAAGAAAGTATTCCTGAAAATGTCCTTCATCTCACACATTTTACAATCAAATGGAAACTTATTTCTCTATTTCAATATTAAATTATATTCTTTCATATGTTATGCCATACCATAAATTAATTTTCATTTCTGGTAAAAGATCAATCTTATCCTTAAAAAAATTGTTGCCTAAGAATAATACATTTTGGAAATGAATAAATTATTACTCAATTCATTTTTTAAAACAATTAGAATATTCACATTAGGAATCATGTTGTTTTCTTTTCAAATAATTTATGCTTATTTTCTGTTAGTACTGGGGATTATGAATGAACACTTTTTACTTCCCAAAGGGTCAAATGAATTTATACTATACAAAAGCTAATTTATACAAATGAATACCAAAAGATAAAATGATTACTATAAAAATTTTGCATAATATGTGCAAAATTCAATTTACAAGCTTTGATATCCCAAAAACCATCCTACTGAATAAGAAAGGGGGAAAATTTTAATTATTTAAACCAGTATAAGTAGTTTGATGTTACTCCTGGAAAACAAAGGTTATCAGTACAAGATCCTCCATAACTGGGAGGACAAGCTGAGCATGGCACTCCTACTTTGTATGGTGCTTCTCCAATCCAGTTTCCCCTAGAACGAAGGAAAAAAAATAGAATTTTAACATTTATAACGTAGTTTGAAAATTAAGTTGCTCCTACATAAACGCAAAAAAAAAATTACTCTGTGAAAGAACACAGCCATTTACCTGTTGTGTGTATATAAGATCAGACATTGAGTTTAAATCTAGTTCGCTTTTGGAATCATTGGGATTGTGCTCATTCAACAACAACAAGCATTTATTAAGCACTTACTTTGTGCTAAATACTGTGATAAGGGCTTGGAACAGGAAGACTGGCAAAAACAATCTCTGTCCTCAGGTAGCTCACAAGAGACAAGCTATAAATAATTATGGACACACAAGCTTTATACATGTAAATTGGAGGTGATCTCCAACAGAAAGTGCTACTATTGAGTAACTACTATTGAGCGAAACTCCTGGCAGAATGTAGGGTTTGGGATGAGACTTGAGGGAAGCCAAAGAAGTCAGGAGGCAAAGACAGGAAGGGGTAAGTACCAGTGATGGATGACAGCAAATGAAACGGCACGATTTGTGAAATGGAGTATCCCATATGAACAGAAAGGAGGCCAGTTCCACTGGATCATAGAGTATACATTAGGTAGTAAAGTACCAGATCACTGGAAGGGCAGGAGAGATCACAACCTTGATTTTAAATTTAATCTTGGAAGAAACAGGGAACCACTGGAGTTTACTAAATGGAAGAGTGACAAGATTAGACCTATATTTTAAGATTGTCACTTTGATATTGAGTGAAGGATAGACTGGAGTGGGAAGAGATGACACAGAGAAACCAACCAGAAGGCAATAGTCTAGGCATGAGATAATGAGAGCCTATGCTGAGATGGCAGCTGTGTCAAAAGGAAGAAGATGAGGAACAGGAGAGATGTTAAAGTAGAACTGGCAGGACCTGGCAAAAGATTAAAGATGGTGGCTGAGAGAGTTTGAGGAGTTGAGAATGATACTTAGTTTGCAAGCCTGGATGACTTGGGAGGATGGTAGTGTCCTCAACAGTAATAAGAAAGTTTGGAAGAGGAGGTTTGGAGGGAAAGACAATGAGTTTAGTTCTGTATGTGCTGATTTTAAGATGTCTATAGGGTATCCATTTTTAGATGTCCAATGAGTCATTTAGAGATAGGAGATGAGCCAGGTCATGAGAAAAGGTTTAGCTTGATAAGTAGATGTGAGAATTATGAGCATAGAGGTGATAATTGAATCAATATGAGCTGATAAGATCACCAGTGGAGATATTGAAGAGAGAGGAGGGCCCAAGACACAGCTTTGGGGACCATTCAAGGTTAATGATTATGACATGGATAAATATCTATCAAAGAAAGTTCAGAACAGATACTCGGGAAACTAGGAGAAGAACAAGGAGAGAGTAATGTGATAAAAATCCAAAGAGAAGAGAGCATGTAGTGTCAAATGCTGCAAAGGTCAAGCAGAAGGAGAATAAAGAATAGGCCATTAGTTTGGCAACTAAAAAATCATTGGCAACTTTGGACAGAGACACAGAGACAAAGACACAGAGAGACACAGAGACACCTCAGAGACAGAGAGACAGAGACAGGCAGACAGAAAGATGCAGAAGGAGAAGGAGGAGGAGGAGAAGGAGGAGATAGAGGAGGAGAATGAAAGACACCCATTATAGACTCCAGTGAAGTTAGTGGGGGTTAATGTCCTATGTCATATGGCTGTTATTTTGTTGTTACAAAGTGTTCTTGTTCTTTTCTAAAATGACATCTAATTTGTCTATATATTAGTAGAATGGCTGGACTCAAGGTATAAAGAAACATTTCATTAAGATACAGTATCAAATAACATTTGCATGAATGGGGGATTTACTAATCACAATGCTTGATAGGCTAAATTGATTGATTTTTGAGTGAATCACTTGAATGAAAGCTGGCTGTTCTAAACATGGAACATACTAATTAATATAAAGCAAATATTGATTGCCACATAATTCTCTTGATATCACTCCTATTGTAAATATGTTCACATTGTGTTATGCTTAATTTCCCTACTCCTTTAAGCATAGAATCTCAGAGTTGACATTAAGTCAAAAATTTTCTTTCGCACACTTTTTTAATCATCAAAAAAAATGGAGCTTAACCATTTATTTGGCTATGGAAAACTATGTGATATAGAGAAAAGGGCACTAAACTAGGATTAGGGTGACTTTGAGTCTAGTTTGGAATTTGCCACAATCTCTGCCTGATCTTGGCTCAGTCCCTGACTCACTGTTTCCTCTTCTTTAAAGTGAAGGTATTGAAGTAGGTAATTTCAAAAATTCCTTGAAGTCAATGCAGAATAGTCTTGTTGTATTCTTCTGTTTATGCTTACTACTTCAAATGAAGGAACCTTAGAGTAGACTGGACAGTCACATTGTATGTCCACAAGGATTTCTCCTTTTCATTCAAATCTTACATTCAATACTACTTAATCTAGGATTAGTAATATAGAACAAGGCTATACTACACTCCTTTGCATATTTAAAGCAAAAACACAAAGAAATAAATGGGAAATTTTTGAAATGCTGCAAAATACCTAGTATAATGTGGATTAAAAACTAAGTAATATTTTTGAAGCTCTATAATACTTAGAGGGTGACAATCATATTATTCTTATATAATTCAAAACATTAGTTGAAATGTTAATACTCTTAATGTATAATCTTTGTCCAATGATTATCAAGCTGAAATATCACTGGATGAACTGAATCATGTTCATATTGACATCCTTCTTAAATGTGAAAGCAAAAGACATAATGATATTGTAATCATAGCTAAATAGAAGGATAACTTGTAGTTTTTCCTCGGAGAGGAAAATAAAGGAGTTGAAAGGGTAAGTTTCTTTGTATGCCAAAAGACAATGATAAATATCACTTCGTGAGCCATTTAGCCAAGATAGACCAAGAAGTGTGAGGATTGAAAAGGCCATAGGATTTAGCAATTCAAAGATCATTGGCAACTTTGAAGTGAACAGTTTCAGCTGAGTGATGAAGTCAGAAGCCAGATTACAAGAAATAAATGATAAGAGATGAAGTTGAAGCAATGAGAGGAGAAAATGGATATCAATATTGCCATTTACTACAGAAATTTAGCTAGTATGTAAAGGGGGCCAAAAGAACCCAGAAATTGCCTTAGTCAACAAATAATTGGTCTTCTGCTAAAGGAAAAGACATGGTTACCAATGGCAAAAGTTTAGAACATAAACTCATTTGCAAAACATCATAGATAGAAATGGAAAAGTAAAAGTACATTTTCCCACAAAACAGCAAACAAGTGGTTGGTGTCAGAGAAAACAAATCTGCAGAAAATTTGGTGTGGGATCCAAAGAAACCAGATCATGCCAGGAGTATTTATTTAAAAATACTGATGAAGGATAAGAAATAAATGAAAAAATGAAAAGGCATGCTAATGCTCTTATATTAACCTTTTAATCATCACTGATAACTTTATAATGATAGCTAACATTTATAATAGTTTGTACTATGTGCATGAGGAGCAGCTAGGTGGTACAGTGGAAAGAGTGCCAGGCCTGGAGTCAGAAAGACTCATCTTCTTGAGTTCAAATCTGGCTTCAGATACTTACTAGCTATATGACCCTGAGCAAGTCACTTAACCCTACTTGCCTCAGTTTCCTCATCTGTAAAATGTAAGCTGGAAAAGGAAATGGCAAACCACTTAAGTGTCTTTGTCAAGAAAACCTCAAATGGGGTCATGAAGAATCCGACACAACTGAAATGACTGAACAAACAATACTTCATGCCAGCATCTGTGCCAGATGCTTTCTCATTGGGTCTTCACAACAACCTGAGAGGTAGGAGCTGTTATTATCCATATCATATTGTTGAGAAAAATGAGGCAAATAGAAATTAAATGACTTGTCCAGGGTCACATAGCTATAGTAAGTATCTGAGGCAGGATTTGAACTCATCTTCCTGATTCTAGGCCCAGTGCTCTGTGCACTGAGCTGCCTAGCTGCCTCACTCCTTCATCTCCTTTTCTGTATCTTGATTGTTATCATGCTTTTGGGCCCTCTTCTTTTCACTTTCTGTATAACCTCACTTGACAAAACTTGCTTCCATGTGTTCAGTTATCTCTATACAGTTGATTTTCTGATTTACACATTCATCTTTTGATGCATCTATTTAATTATATGATATATTTAATATGTAATAATATGTTAACTTTTGCATCTAAAACTGCTTATTGAATATTAGCAATATATACATCTGAAACCCTATGCATTTGAAACTGTCGAAACCCAAACTCATTATGTTCATTCTCCAAAAAAAATCTTTTCCCTATGCTGAACTTTCCCATTAATTTTGAGGGCCCCACCACCTTTCCAGTCTCCCAGGTTTCCAACTTTGGCACCATTCTTGACTCCTTATTTTAACCAATCATAAATATTCAATTAATTGTCAAATCTTGTTGTTTTTGTCTTCACAACACTTAAGCGGCAGCAATGGACAGAATGATGCCCTTGAGTCAGAGAACCTAAATTCAAGTCCTGCCTCTGATAATTACTACCTCTGTGATCTTGGACAAGTCATCTCATATACATGGATATCAATTTGCTCACCTGTAACATGAAGAACTTGGACTAAATAGTCTCTGAAGTCTTTCCACTTCTAAATTTGTGATTCTATTATCACTCATGTATATCTCCTTTTCTTAACAATTCCACAGCCACCACTACCCTTCCTCTCCAGTTCAGGCCTTCTCTGAACTTATAGGTACTGTGTGCATTATTATAAATACTAAATGGTAGGAAAGACATTGTCACTAAATATCAGGCTATCAATCTAAAATGGCTTGAATAATTTTGATGTTTAATTTGTAACTTTCCTAAGTCTCCTTTTTGTCATTTTCCTGATATAAATTATCAATGGAGGATCATCAGTCAATTTCTATACTTTTTATTTTATGATCTTTATTTAAGCATAGTCATTGGCATGCACAATAATGGTGAGTAACTTAGCAATATATTCGCATTCTCTCTC